TGGATTAACTTGTAACGATCATCTCAATTGGGATGCAAATGAATGAAGATATCAAGCTTAGCATACACGAGGAATGATGTGTGGCATTTACATTAATCCTTACAAATGAATGTGACTAAGATGCGACAAATACGAACACCCACGAGCTCTTGTAGGAAGGATATTGCAACATCCTCGTAACCAACATCGAGGTACAAGTAGACACACTATAAGAACTCAATGCGTACAAACAAAGAATATAGTGGACTCTTACAACAGTCTCTACGAGATCAGGTGCATCGTACCTGCAAGAACAACAAATGGTTGCATAATGCAATTGTTTATCCTATATGCGCTATTGAGATCTCCAACACAAGCAACAATGCCTGTAGATTAAGATGACAATACTGACATTTGATAGTGGAAGAGTCGTCCTTACAGACAAGTACAATCGTCATACCACCTGAGATTGGTGAAAGGTGAATATGATGTAGGAACAATTGCTCTTCTATGAACACCTCCAGAAAGTCGTAGTGAATACAGCAGGCCCCCGTAAATACACACGAGCCACTTGTGGATAACAATAATGGATATATTGTAAGTACAACTAACCCTTGTAAACACAAGTATAGACATCACCTACAACAGCGGTGATTGAGGTTTGCAAGTATGTCAGGTATAAAGGTAACTCAATGTATGGAGAAGGATAACTCCCGGCAGAATGGGAGAGATGTTTGAACAAATTCGAACTAAACTTCCTGGTGTTCCAAAATTTCTTCTTGATCTTATACTTATAAAGAAAACAGTCCTAACATCTAGGAACACTGAAGATGACAAGAGCACCTGTATACCTCCACTTATCTCAAAGATGGAATGAATCTTAGTTCAACCAGGTTCAGAATATTGAGTTGGATAAAATTATTGAGGCTTGCAAGTTCCTGATGAAAGATAGTCGTGCACCTAACATACCATCTACAAGCATCTACAAATGTAAAGCAGGAGATTCGTTAGTGCACTACGATCCACCTGCAAAAAATAATAAGTAGTGCACGACAGTCTACCTATATAAAGCAGCGAACAACTCTATTCAGGAGCTGCTACGCCATGCCACCGGATCCGCAACACTCATATTAGCAGTCAGAAGGAATTTCACAAATATTCCAAGAGTACCCCCGCACATGCACCATAATATGTATGCACATATATACACAAAGAGGTGGCAAATCCAATCACAAAACCCGCATGGGCCCCGGCGAGCGTGTTATTGGTACACACGTTACGTCTAGGGATGCTTCGTGGATCAATAAATTTGAACCATATCTTCCTAAGCATGAAAGTAAGAGTTGACAAAGTTCAATAAATAATTACAAAATTCACCCACATGGGCCCCGACAAGCGTGTTATTGGTACACACGTAACATTTAGAGATGTTGCGCGGGTCAATAAGTGAATTCAAGTTTGAACTCGATCCTTCTATACGGATCAATAGGAGTCGACAGGGTTCGAACCATCAAACAAATACATTGTTATGAAGACCGATATATTTTTTTAATACATTCATATTAGGCCTTCAAGGCCTATAACAATATGAATTCACTAAAAAAAGCATGAAACCTATGAAACTCGATCCTCTATTGGCAGCTCGACAGTGTTGACAAGGTTCATCTACAAAATGCAAATATTTTTAAATAGAATGATCTCAAATACCCCGATGATGGCCATATTGAATGTTTATCTCAACCGGAGGGGTTCACAACCACTTTCAAATTCCTTCTAAACTTCACCCAAATGCTCACAAAAATCCAAAATTTCAAAAATCCTCAAAATCCAAAAATATTTAAAATTGAAACAATCCATCAAATCACTAAAAGCAAAATTCATCCACCCTCTGCAACAGTTTGCTGGGGTGGACAAATTAAAATTTACTTCAGCTTACATAGAGCTAATGTCTAGTCGAAAATATCATTATGATTCATTCTCAAACAATCTTCTACCAATAAGAACATATTACGCGTCCTCTGACTAACGGTTTTATCGCCAAATGACACCGCAGGATAAACAGTTATGACCCGGGGCCCTCTACTGAGTGGTTTTGCCACCAAATGGCACCACGAAATACAGGTTATGACCAGAACCAATACGTTCCTTAGTGGCATCAAATCCTTGAGATATGAATCAATAGGACATGATCGATAAGGAACAAAACCCTCTATTAGCTAAGGTGGATTCAAATTTGTCCCCTTAAGCAAATATCCATCTAAGGTCTACAATGTCCTCTTGGACGAAACAACCCATGGCTGCCAACAAGGATCCTTCTGTCAGGTTGGGTCGACTACGTTCTCTGATTAAGTAGAACAGAGACCACGATGGCCCGGAACGACGAAATCATGGGATCTTGATCGGGTCCATCATCCATTTCCCCACCATCCGCTTTAAGTGCAAGATGATGAAATTTCTATTTTAAATATCAAACCTTCAAATTCTCAATCATTTCTAAATATATATGCCCATGCTGCTATTATATGCCAAATAACACGTCTCTACGTATCTGATTGACGACTAGCCTTAATCGAAAGTTCTCTCTCCTTATCAGGAGGGGTAATTAACTATAGGGGCTTGCGCCTATAGGAAACCAGAACTCAGATCATAAAGTGCTCGCAAAATAAGGACGAAATCTCTGGGTAGAATCTTATCTACAAACTCATCTGCCTTCCAAAATTTATCCTGAAACTTAATCGGTTAAAACTCCCCCGAAAAAGAAAAGCAAAATCGGGCGGAGGTCGTGTCCGAATTTTTGGAGCCCACATAAGGATATAAATCTTTCAATAATATCTTGATGAATCCCAATTCTTGTAACGAAATCAACATCATTAGGTAAAATACTTTCTTTGTCACTCTGAAAAGAGTTTCATAGAGAGAACCCTAGGGAGTTCAATACGAAATTTATTTTGCTTTGGCAAATAGACTTGATAAGTTCAATTACGACTTCTTTGGAGACTGGATGATTTGTATTCAAACGACTTCAACTTTGGAATGAAATGATTTGGACGATTTTAATTGTAAACCTCCTTGACGGTTTAAAGCTTTTAGCGAGTTAGATCATTGATGATTTCAATGATTCATCATAGCTTTATGACTTCTATTTAACCCAACGAGTACAATTCTAGATTGCAACTATGAGGATTTTTTTTAATACCATTGTCCTCATATGCACCTAACAAAGTCTTCAATATCTAATATTAAATTTATCTTACACAATGCAATTTAAAAGGATTTTTTTTTCTTTAAAATGAGACCTTTGATTGACATTAAAAAAATTCTACAACAACAACAATATCAAGCTTTTATCCCAGTAAGTGGGATCGGCTACATGAATCCTTTCTCCATTGTTTTTTGTCAAGAGTTAAATTCTTATTTAAATCTAAAACTAACCAAGTGTTTTTAGATCTACCACTATCTTTCTTAATATAAGTCAAATCTAGCACATTTACTCTCCTAACCGGGATATCGGAAGGCCGATATTTTGTATCCAAATCATCTAAGACAACTCTCTCTAATCCTATCTACCACTATATCCACTAAAAAAATTTCGCGTATATATTCATTTCGTATTGTTTCTAAAAGTGAAGCCACTCATCCGCTTGAGTATCATCATATCTACAAAATTTAACTTAATTTTATGCTTCTATTTAAATGGCCAACATTCTATGTCATAAAACATTGCAGGTTTCACCACCAATTCATAGAATTTTCCCTTAAATTTGAAGGATACTTTTCTATCACACAACAGGCCTAATGCATCTAACTTGACATTAAAAAAATTCTACAATATTTATTAGTAAATGCAACTTTTTATAACAATAATTGCGAGATTTGAATATACCACCTCAGTTTGCCAGAATAGTATTATTCTTCGAGCAACAATTTGAGACAAGCACAGAAACTTAAAAACAAACTATCAATTTCATCAAACATAGAAAGCAGAAGATAGAAATTTTGAGAAAATTTTTAACTGGTACATATTTAAATATATATTTTTATTAGAAACATATCGAAGTAGCCTTTTAAGAAGGAACAACTCGTCTCATATCTAGACGCTTTATCTTCATATTTTTATTTTTTGACGATATTTTTTTGTCATATGGATCTGGTTTTTATTAAGTTTTATTTAAAAGTTTTCTGAACGTTTATTTCAGTATGAGCTACATATTTATTTTTTATATTTTATTTATCATGTTTTATGAATAATTTTTAGCTTTTATTTTCAAATTTTTTGAGTTATTTTTAAGAATTTTTGTTTTCAAATTATATGACTTCTTATTTAGTAAGTTTTTGTTTTCAAAACTTTTTAAGCAATTTTTCATTTTTACTATCAGAAATCCTGGGTTAATTTTTTTGGATTTTCACTCCATCTTAGTTATTATATGCATTCCTTTTATATGTATTTTTAATGTTTTTATCATATAATTTGGCACAAAATTAAAGACAACCAAAATTATATCGACAAAATATTCCTTATTTATATTGATAAATTAACATAAAAAAATCAATGCAAATAAGAAATATTTTGTGAATATAATTTTAATTGTCTTTATTTTTGTGCCAAATTATGTGCCAAAAACAAAAAAAATTACAGATGAACTTAATGCATAAAATAATTAAGATAGTCATGAAGTTGATAACGAAAACTTCTAAAAAAACAAATCACAAATTTGAAAATAAAATTTTAAAATAATAATTCAATAAATCTGAAATCAAAAGTTAAAAATAACCCAAAAATATGAAATAAAAATATTAAATAAAATAAAATAACTAAAAAAATCTGAAAACAAAAACAAAAGTTCAAAAAGCCTCACAACAAAACAAAATTTGAATAAACAAAAAGACGATTTGTTCCTTCTTAAGATAAAGTATTAAGACGTTTCTAACAAAAATAAATATTTTAAATATGTTTAAATCAAAATTTTCGCCCAAAATCCTTGGCATGCGTAAAGGTGAGAAAGGAAAGGCAGGCTACGTACAAATGTCTTAAGCTTGTTGAAAATCTGGCTGGTTTGTCACTGATCTGAGCCACGCCCACTTATGATCCTTTACATCAACCGCATTTTTAGCTGCAGCCACCTCCTCAATAGGAATATAAGCATAGTTCCCATTAATTTGACCCGAAACAAATCCTGTATACCCAGCCATTGCACCATGAATCGATGAATGAGCAAGCAAAGTGCAGTACATACTATCAGTAGCATTTGCTGGAACTGCTCGGATCATATAAGTCGGATCAATGTATTTCAATGTGAAGAGCTCCCCAGGATGATCCCTCTTCCACCAGTTAGTCAGCTCTGACTTCAGCCATGGACCAACATCAAGGAACACTGGATTTCCAGACTCGTCTTCCTCGGCTTTCTGTGATTCAGTCCTTGGTATCAGGTTCTGTCCAGTACCTTCAGCCACAACAAGAACAGCATGACCATTCCTTTTAAGCCTTTGATCAAGGAATTCAAATAGACCTCCTTTGCCTTCCAGATAGAAATCAATCTCAGGGATCAGGCAGCAGTCGACATCACGGCTGCTTAGAGTAGCATGAAGTGCAATGTGCCCTGTGTTTCTTCCCATAAGTTTGACAAGTCCAACGCCATTGACAGCACTCTCAGCTTCAACATGGGCAGCATGGATGGCTTGTAAAGCAATCTCAACTGCAGTCTGGAAGCCAAAGGAGCGGTCGATGATGCCAATATCATTGTCAACAGTTTTGGGGATGCCAATAATAGAGACATGAAGTTTGCGGTGCTGAATCTCATTGAAGATCTTAACCGCACCCCTCATGGTCCCATCTCCACCAATGCAGTATACCTGAAAATTTGTAGATGTAAGATTACAAAAGACCTCCAAGAAAAACCTCTTTAGATATGACATAATAGAAGCTAAGCAATCCAAAGAAGGCAGAAGTTTGTAAACTTCTTTTTAATCGAAAATTTTTCCAACAACTAGAGCTCTTCTATCATCGGAAACTGTAACATACTATATACAAGTACAACCATCATGATGCAAACCGTCTTACGTATATCAATTAGAACCAAACTACATTTCATTTCGTGGTAGTTCAGTTTAGAACGTGAAGCCTCATTATGGTAGTGAACTATCTATTCCAATAGCAAAACTATCACAACTTCAAACTTTGGGTTTCAATTGTGCACTGAGATTGATATGTTTTTTCTTTAATATAGACCTGACTGATGACTATCATAAAAGTCTCAAATGACCTTAATAATTTCTGTTATTAATTGTAAGGTAGTGTGAAATTTAACCCGCTTGTTGATCAGCTGTGCAAATGAACCGTAAATAATGTGCAAGCACGTTGCAGCACCATAGTTAATCAGCCAGCCAATAAATCCTTGTAGTTTTGTTTTGAAATAAAAAATCTAGTCCAAAGTTGTCATCTTGACTATTCAAGACCTTTGAATGGCTCCAAAATGATGAATAATGACCTTAACACAGAATTGAAATAAATTACAGTAACTAAATAGCTGTAATAGGATAAACATGAACTAGTACAAAATTTTCCAAGAAATCAGAATTCCTTCAAAAAGTCATGCAAGATTTAGCGTTAAGCCAAAATACATTAGAGCTCGGAGTTGTGCACGTTCAAAGATTTCTAATTCCTTTATTCAGTAAAGCATTCCAATAAAACTCCAGCAGGACCGACATTGTAAGTTGTGCTTCAATAAAACATTCTCATATTTCTCAAATGATCTGGAAAACCAAAAGAACAACTAGAAGCACAAAGAAAAGCTCTACAATAAAATATGTCTACACAAACATTCCAATAAACATTCATCTGTGTCTAGTTCATCAAGTTATTTTGTTGGCCCAAAAAGTGTTCCAGTAATCACCGAACCATTTAACGGACATTTGTTTTGTTCCAGATTGAATCTGCTTTGGAATCGAATACACAAAAAGTCGCCTAAAACTGCTTAAACTACAAGTAATCTAAGGATTTTCCACTGATTCAACCAAGAAATCTAAATTTTTCTGATGAACACACAATACAACCAATCAAGAGAAATTAGCCAACAGTTGATTACCAACTATGGTGGAGCTAGTGTACCACTCCAGAAGACGTGTTTCTTCCTCTAGGTGGAACTCATCAAGTTTCCTTAACAAAGAAGCTAACCACAAGCTCACTACATTGCCAGTTTAAATTAGGCCCCTAACCACCTTCATATTCTACTATCTTTTATATTACCCATCCTGCAACATTGACCAAATTCCTATCTACGAATAGGTGGTCAAATTTCAAGTGCGGGCATTTGAAAATCATGTTTAAGCAAGCATTTTTAGAAGAAGAGAGGGAGATACATAACGTTCATTCAACTCAATCTTCCTCATCTCAATTGATTCTTTCCTACGAATAAACCAAATTAAAGTTGATGCTGCAATTGCATTAGCTTTTGGGCAGGTTCAAATATATTTCACTCCTTGATTTTTTTTTTCCGTCTCTTATTTTACAATAATAGTGTTATATTTTATGATCAAACAAATCTCAAAATAGTCCCAAGACTAATTGTATGTGGCCATTTTAATCTTAAAATATCATATTGATCCAATTCAGTACATGGACAATATAAAATTGATCCAAAATTTTCTTTGATATTATAATTGTGATATAAACTTAAACCCAATTTAGTCACAAATAGATCATTTTGAATAAATTTTGTGAATTTGAATGACTAAATTGAAATACCGTTATACTTTTAGGACTAAATTGTCCATATATAAATAATCAATTGAGTATTCTAAAGTTTATCCCATTTTATTATATTTTCTTGGGTATTATCCTTCCATTTTCAGTTTTGCATGGCATCCCTTGGTATAGACCGTTACATGTATTAGAATAGTGGTGTCGATGAAGGTAGCTAAATAAAAACATAATTTGTGGGCTTGCATAGTGTTGCTCTAGTAGAATTCCTCTTTTCAACCAATTTGTTTGCCTCATCTCTTTGTATTTCCTTGCATTAAACCACTCTAGAATTCAATCTATTTAAATTTCAACTTGAATCAACACACCACTCACTTGGCCTCACCTCCCTCTGTTAAGCTTTAGCCTCAAGTAAGGTGTGAGCAAACTCCACTAAATAGTCTTGAATCGAATATTTTTTTAGGTACAATGATGAGTATGAAGAGATGTAAAGTATGGATTTGGCCTTGAACCTTAGTGTAATCTAGCCTTAACAGACCCAAGCCTAGCACTAGGCTTTATTAGGTTGATTAGGTTTCACTTGAATCAACTAAATGGTTAAAAAAAGTTACCCTAGATTGATCTAAGAAAAGTATATGTTGACCTATGAAACCAATTATTCAAGTCCAATTGCCCAACAAACGAACCCAAGACAGCCTAAAGAGCCTAGAATTAAACAGAAAACCACTTGTATGTGACTCGATCCAATTCATTTGAGAATAGACCCAAATCCACTTAGCTTGACTACATTATGTTAACCCAAATACCATAAACCCAAAACTCATTTGGACAAGCCAAATTTAATTATGTCATTGCTTCCGCTTGCTCCAATAGTGAACAAAATTTGTTGCTCAGCCGAGAGAATTGCCCCATGGCTTTTACATATGGCCTATCACAACAAATTAAATTCCTCAACACAGTTCTACGATGTCTGGAAATTCTGCATTTGTCTCTCCACAAATAAATTTATCCATGGCTTTCCCTAATTGCACTTGTATTGGTTCCAAAGGTTACAAGAGGCTTCATATAAATTTGCTTAAACTATTGATCATTTGGTTAGATTCTTGATTCCTCTAGTATCTTCAAGCGTGTATAAACTTTTCAGAAGAATTTTCACCCCATTCCAAGCCCTATGCCCTTGTATTGGTTCCAAAGGTCGCAAGAGGCTTCATATAAATTTTCTTAAACCATTGTTGATCTGGTTAGACTCTTGATTCCTCAATTATCTTCAAGAGTCAAGAGCGTATAAATTTTTCTAATGAATTTCCACCCCATTCCAAGCCCTCTGCCTGTGGTCCCTATCAACTACGGTGAAATAAACATAGAACTATAGTTAGGAGCATCATAGATGAGAAGGTAGATCCCTTAAAGATTAATAGGTTTTGTATCATCTAGAAAAAGCTACATCTAATAATGACTTCTCTAATAATTAGTCTCATTTAGGTAACTAATTTGTTAATAAAGCTTGTTTTCTCCAAGACCAACATTTCAATCCTGCTAGGATCTTCATCCCCTTATCGAGGTGAAGATTGGAACTTATTTTGCTAAGTTTGGTGAAGGATCATCAAAGATCCAGGTTAATTGAATTTGATGGTTCATCACTTATTACATGTTTAAGATGATTTGAGTGATGTTAATTCGATTACATCGACAACTATAGTGTGATATGGCAAAGTGTTTATTCAGACTCATAATAAATTAGATCATTTAATCTACATGATCTATAGAACCTCCAAATTCAACTTTTTATCGATCCATCAATGCATCATAAAAAAATTCAGATTTAGAATTATCAAAATTAGACCATTAACTAGCCTGACGGTACAAGAGAAAGAAGTATCAAGTTTCTACAGCACCTACTTATATAGTTAGGTTCTATTCTCTTTGAAACTTATTAAAACATGAACCAAAGCCCTTTTTGTTTGTTAAAACACATAAGAACATTGGATTTAACTGCATATCGGATAGGTAAAAATAAATTGGTGGACAAATACTAGTGATTAACCTTCATCCTTAAGATAAAGCTTATGAGATGATAGGTAAACATCTATTAGTGCATTAAACTTAACCAGGGCCCTGGCATTCCACCCTCCTAACAATAATACCAGTTGTTCAATTGGAAGTAATTGGATCAAGCCAGTTGCCACTATCGTAAGTTTTCAACTTTTCATGGCTTCTACCAAGTTTAAGAAGGTTAAAAGAGAGAATGAATCAATATCACAATAAAGGAGCAATATGTTTAGTACCATATGGACGAATAAAAAATTGACAAGTAATGCTAGTGGCTGACACTCATTAATATTCTTGAAAAATTATATTGAATTTAGATTTGGCCACTCCTTTATAAACACCAACGTTGACCACTTAGATTTGCTTTCTTCCTCTTGCAAGCTAAAATTTAATTTTGAAGCCCAAACGTATTAAGTGAAATAAAGTGGAAGTAAATCAAAAAATAGTAGCAAAACTGTCAGATAAAGTTTCCGTGATGCTCACCTGATTAAATCCTCTCTTCTCAATCGCCCCCACGATCTTCTCCAGATCAAACCCTCCCCTTGACGTAACAAGCGCAGTACCTCCCCGCAAATGCCAGTTATTCACAACCCTTGGATTGAGCTCCACCATATCCGCTGAATAAAAACCTCGATAGCCGGATTGCACCCCAAAGATCTGACGAACGCCATAAAGGTCCCAAAGGGCGACAACAAGCTCTCTTATTACTGTATTGAGCCCGGGACAGAGGCCGCCGCAGGTGACGATGGCGGCGCGCACGTCGTCGGAGTCGAAACGGATGAACTGGCGCGGGCCAGCGCGGTGATAGGCTAGGAGGGGAGAGGATGAGGAGGAGGAGGAGGAGAAATCGAAGATGATTTGGCGGAGGATAACGTCGCAGGCGGAGAGGTAGAAGGATGGATCAGGGTGGTAGTATGGGGATTTGTCGATGGGATTTGGGAGGGTTGGGAGATTGGGGATGGTATCAGAGAGACTGTGGATGGTTTGGAGTTCGATTGGAGGCAGGGGGAAGGTGGTAGAGTTGGGAGAGGAATGCATCGATTCCATGGAGATAGAGGGAGTCCGTTGGTGAGAGCAATTGGGGAATTTAGACAAGGATATATGAGGAGGTGCCGCGTTGAAAAGACAGAACACAAATTCATCAGCTGCTTACAAATGGCGGAAGTGGCCGTGATAGGGTGCCGCGTTTGCATATAGAGCCGAAAAAAAAAAAGATTTAAACCGACGGACAGATTGCTTCCAGCTCCATCCCGCCTCGAGGTTCCAAGCGGATGAGCGCGATTGAGTTTAGGGTTTCTAGGTGTAGGTTCTTTCTCTTTCCTTTCTCTAGGATTTTTTATGGGTCTTTCAAAAGACTTTTCTCAATTGCCGTCGGCTAAGGCATTGGATTTCGCATCTGGATTCTCTCCGGAAGATAAAAAATCTTGGAATGAATTATTAACTTATGGTCAATCTTGTTCCAAATATTTTTCTATTTATTTTATTCCCTCTTCCAATAATCTGACTCTTTTTTTTTTTTTAGGAAGATGTTGCATTTATCTAAGAAAAATGAGGGGTTAACTCTGTTCAGCTATTTTGTGGTTAAGCGACCTTACTTTGAAGCATTATGTTCGATAATGCTTAAAACCTAGAAGTTGAAAGGAAATCTTACACTTCTTGCTTTAAGTAAAAGTTTTTTCTTAATGAAGTTTTCATGTCGAAGATTTTATGATTTGGTTTGGTATGTAGGACCTTGATTCTTTTTTTTTTTAACCATTTAGTATTCAAATATGGTCGCCTTCATTCAGAACGAAACGAGAGGTGTTTGATTTTATTCCTTTCTGGATTAAAATTCTTGATTTATGGTTTGTTTGTTGGACTCCAAAAGGCATTTCAAGAATTGCAAGTTTAATTGAGATTCCTTTATCTGTGGATGCCTTTACCGTAGATCAGGCTTACTTTTGCTAGGGTTTGAATTATTATCAATAAAGACTCTCTTCTTCCTGAGGAAGTTAAAGTTTTTATGGCGGGTAATGTTTTTCCTTTAAAAATTGTTTATGATTAGAAACCCTCTCCATGTTCGGGTTGTTGTTCTCTGGTTTATCCCATCTCTCTTGGTCCTTCTAAACCTCTGGATCAAAAAGATAAAGAGAAGGTTATGCTTGAAACTAATAGAGGGCGAAGTAGGACTAGGACTAGGAAATTTTGGAAGGTGTCTTCTCGCCCTTCAAAATCTTATTATCCTCCTAAAGCTAAATCTCATCATCTTGATTCAAATATTTCCAATTTACAAGTCCATTCTAGTTCGGTTCTTCAATCAGATTATAATTTGCATTTTCTGAATTCTAAAGATGTAATAGATCCTCGACAAGTGATTTTTCCTTCTGAGAATATTAGCAACAAAGATTCTATTTATATTCCTGATAATATTAATTTGGGTAATTTAAATGCTAAATCTTATGGCTTTGAAAATGCTAACTCTTCTAGCTTGAAAGAAGCTTTATCGAATCAAAATTCTCGTTTTGAAGTTCCTTCTGCTGATTTACTAGATAACTCTACTTCGATTTTGGATATTCCTATTAATGGTGTTTTTTCTAAGGATGCTAATATGGTAAATAAGTTTTAGGTTTTACAAGGGATAGAGGAACATTTAATGGAATCAGAGGCTGATAATCTTGGTGACTCTTTTGTAAGTATCCAAAAGAATGATGTTGAATCATTGAAGGATATTGCTAAAGGGCAACCTCTTCATATGGTTTCTTTAGCTTCCGGGAAGCCTACTCCTTCAAAAAATGCCAAAAAGGAAGCAAATTCTTCTTATAAATATTAATGTTAATGCCTAACATTGTTTCTTGGAATGTTAGAGGTTTTCATCATTTAGATAGAGTTCTTGATTGCAAAAAAATTGATAACAATTTTGGTGTTGAGCTTTTTTGTATTCTTGAAGCTAAGATTAAATTGTATAAAGTTAATGATCCTTGGTTTGATGCTAAACATAGAATTTATCTTCAAGAAGGCAGTTGTCATAATTTTTCCTACTCTTCTCCGTATGGAATTTGGTTGAAATGGATTGCCTCTCGTATTTCTTTTAAATGCATTATTGCTTATAGTAAATTTATTCATGGCTCGATCGATTTAAATTCTTCTTCTTCTTCTTTTATTATTACTATGATTATGCGGCTAGCTACACTATTGATAGGATTTCTCTTTTGCAATATTTTCTTAATTTAGCAAAGAATATTTCATCCCCGTGGATTATTTTAGGGGATTTTAACTGTTGTCAATTTGCTAATGAGAAATCTGGAGGAAATTTTATCCCTAATGCTAAGTTGTGGAATTTCAATAACTTTATCTTTAAGGCTAGTCTTCATAATCTCTCTTCGGTTGGGCTTTTTTTTTACCTGGTTTAATCAATAAGTGGACTTGTCTATTCATATTAAATTAGATCGGGTTTTGGTTAACTGCCATTGGTTGAATTTGTTATCATGTTCTTTTTTTTCATGTAAATAATCTGATGTGCACTGATCATTCTCCTCTTATTTTGTACAATAAAAGTTAGATTCTTATAATAAGAGATTTATGTTTAAGAATTTTTCATGTAAAATGTGAGAATTTTGGGATCTTCTTATAAATTTTTTTGCGAAAGTTCGTATTGGTAATCTGATTAATGATCTTTATAGTAAATTGTGTTCTCTTAAAAGTCTAATTAAAAATTAGAATTTGGCCCCTGCTAAGGTTGTTTCTATGAACATTGATTTTCTTCAAAAGAAGCAGACAAAGCTTTTATAGAATATTCAAGCCAATTTGTTAGATCATGATCTTAATATGGCTTTAAAGAATGTTAATGGATTGCTTAATTTCAATATATCTTTATGATCTTCTTGAATTGTTCAAAGAGTTAAAGCGAAATGGCTTTCTAATAGAGAAGATGATTTGGGTTTTCTTTACTCTAAAATTTGGCATAGGGAAAATAAGAATAAAATCAATGTCATTTTTTTTCCTAATGGTGTTATTTCAAATTCTTAAGGGATTTCTATGGCCTTTATTAATCATTTTAAGAATGCTAATGCTAAGCAGGTTTATCGAGGGCTATTAAAGTCACGGTTATTACTCTTATTCCTAAGCATGCTAATGCTTCACAAATTACTAGCTATTGACCTATTTATTTATGTAATATTTTTTACAAAACTATAACTAAGATTTTAGCTATCATAATAAAGGATATTATACCTTTTATTATCAATAAGTCAATATGTGTACATTAAAAAGAGGATTTCTACTAATAATATTATCCTTGCGGTGGAATTATTACGAGGTTTTAATTGCCTAGTAAAGAAAAATTCTTTTGCTCAAAATTGATATCCAAAAGCTTTTGACACAGTTTCTAGAATTTTCTTTTCAATAGAATTGCTTAGAAAGATTTTCATCAAGTCTTTATTTCTTGGATTAAAAGATGCATTGATGATACTTTTTTCTCTATTGTGTTTAATTGCAGTGGTGGAGCCAGAAACTTTTTTTAGAGGAGGCCTAAATTAAAATAAAAAAAAATCCCTAAGTTTTTTTTCATCCGGACTTGAGATCGACATAGGCTGTTTTAAAAAAAAAATTAAAAAGATTGAATATTAAATAGAAGATAGAAAACACTTAAAATTTATAGCGTATGCTCTTCTTATTTTTAAAAATATTAATAATAACATCATTTATCAATACTATACAAAATTTCCTTCTTAATATAGACGAGTAAAGTATCATTAATCCATAGATCTACTATCTTATTTCGCAGTCGAGTTTTAATGATAGTCATTGCAGAAAATGCTCTTTCTACTCCGATCCTACTGTTGCAACGGCTAAACTAAAGTGAGTTTTAATAGCCTGAAAATAAGAGGATATTAAATATCCTTTTTGTTTTGTATCATTTTCTCAATATATTTTAGCAATAAAAATTGTGGATCAGACTACATATTTTAGATGGTTGGCTTGGCAACCAATGTATTTACTGTATGGTCAGGTTTAGCAATGTGGGGTTTTTGTTTTTATAATATGCAGTTTACTTGGTTTTTATTTTCTATAATCTGCAGTTTACTTGGTTGTTTGTTTTTCCTGGTAAGTTGTTGGTATGGTGGTCTCTTGTTGTTGTTTGATGGTAGGAGATGGAGGTTGCTTGCTGGAGATGGGGTTGCTGAAACCTGTTGTTATTGGATGGCTTGGTTGGATGATTATTTCTATATCTTTGTTCTGATGTTGGATTTGGTTCTTTGTTATCTATTCTTGTTATTGACTAGTTTTACTAGTCGTGTTTGTATTTCTAGTTTATTTTTTCTCCTCTAAGAAGTTTTGTTTAGGTCGCATAGGTTCTCTATTAGATTTTTTTTTCTTTTCTTTCTTTTAGTTTTGTAAGTTTTTTCTTTGTTTTTCTTACAAAACTATTGCATTTTCTTGTAACCTTTCATTTTTGGAATGAAATTGAGCATGTTTGCCACTATTTTTCCAAAAAAAAAGGTTTTTTTTTAACGATTTAACAATTTAAATAAATTAATGCACTTGCTTATCATACATTATTTGTACATATAAATATGTAAAAAAAATTTTAATTAATGTATAATTTTTTATGTTGCACATCAAATTATCCAAATAATAATAAAAAAAATCAAAGTTACTTTTGGAAGAAATTAAAAGAATAAGCATGCAAATAAGTTTAAAAATATTATATTAAATTTTAATTGAATCATTATTTTATTCTTGTCAAGCATTCACATGAAAAAGAAAAGTACATATTTATAGGATTATTCATATTTGGGGATTAGTGTTGATCGATAGATTATATAGATTAAAGAGAAGAGAATTTACTTTTTTGAGAATTGAAAAATCAATTAGTTCTCTTCGCTTCTCTTTGTTTTAATCAATAAGGAGTGATTTGATATGTTTTAATTCTACACTAAGTAGCTGTCATCATAATCATTGTTGTTATTATGTTATTAAGTCTCAATTCTAAATTTATTATCACTAGGATCATCTTCATGAAAATATGAACTGTCATATGTATGAACTTATATGTTATTTTTAATATTTTCTTTTATTATATCAAAGTAAGTCTCCATACATCATTTAGATCATATGTCACCATGTCTTAATAGATTTTATTTGGTCATTGAGATAATTTCCTTCCAATAATTGACTTCCCACCCTCTCTCTCTACTTGAAATTCCAATATTATTCATGAGTTGTTGATGTTAAAGGTGAAATATGTATCATTTATTTAAGTTGAATTCGCAATGGCACTAATATCTACTGTGATGGAAGTACCATTGTATACAACTAGTGCAATTTTCCTATATTGCT